TCACTTAAAAAATGTATAGTGTGTACCTTCTAAAAATGAAACCTACATCTAGCTCGGAGCTGTAAAGAATATGTATTAAGGTTATAACAACCAACAAGAATGCACTTTTATGTAGAAATCCAGGATTAAATCGAGTCTTCCTGACTAGTGATTTAAATCAAATCCACCCTGAAAGAGAGGAAGAATAGTAAGAGGTCAATACGGCTCCATTGGCCCTTTTTAATAACCTGAAAAATCAAAGAAGAATCCTACAAAAAGTGGAAACATGGATGAATTGCTAAGGGGGAGTACAAAAGAATAGTGCAAACATATAGGCACAAAATCAGGAAGCCTACGGCACAAAGAGTTATACCTAGAAAGGCACATAAAAAGCAGGAAAAGCTTCTTTGAATACATTAGGAACAAGAGAAAGATGAGAGAAAGCGTAGGTCCTCCACTTACTGGGGAAAGAGAGCTAACCGATGACATCAGGAAGGCTGAAGTGTTTAGTGCCTATTTTGCTTCAGTCTTCACTAACAAGGTTAACGGTGAACAGATACTCAACACAATTAACAATGGGGAAGTATGACCCAGGAACCTCTTGATGCCAATTGGGAGAAGGCACAGGGGATGCACACAGTTTTATAGGGACCCCCCCGGATCAGATATATGAATAATAATTCACGAAAGGGTGGCATATGAGGTTTCTACCAAGAGCCATTTAACAACTGGTCATCATAATCACTTGTGAAACATATGTATGGATAACATTTAAGTCGTTACATCTCTAAACTGAAAATTATGTTTGTAAGGCAGATAAGCAAGTGAGACCTATCTAAGGAATGTTCGTTTCAGGCAGGGGGTAACAGACATTTATTTCCCTACCTGGTGTAGTGGGTATCGTCCACATCCCAATGCATGTCTATTTGCATTCTGAGCCAAAGGCTAATCAGGAGTTTGCGATTTCAATAAGATATGAAAACTACAGGAAAAAACAACTGGGGGCGGGGGCATCCTATTTATGAATAAGGACAATGGATTGTTCTGATATATCTTGGAGTGCATACACCCAGAATATTTCACCTAGCAGGCAAGCTGACATCATGTTTGTCTCATGAATGGAAGGACCTGGCTGTAAAACGCTAGGACTTTGGGATGAGCATTGCTCTAAGACACAGAAGTATACAGTTATCATTCGAATCTCTGTATTTTGTTAAGTAAACTTTACTTGTTTTCACTACAGAATTATCTAAGTCCTGTGTGTGTAAAACAGAGCAGTGATCAAAGATGTAACTGGTAAGTTGGGTTGTACTATTCCCCTGGGAGCTGCAAATCTGTAAATATGACTGTCCAGTAGATCAGGGGCTGGACTCTCAAGGGAGACATTTGGAGGCTGCCTATTGCTAACTTGTAAAGGGGCAGTGGGGTCTCTGTAGGCCTAGATGGAAGTGCTTGTGTTGCCTGTGGCCAGTAACTGTCACCTCTGGGAAGCCCAAAGTGGGAATACCTCTGGGAACGCCCAAAAACCCCCTTGTCTCCTGCACATGGCCATTACTGTGAGACCAACAGGCATTTGTTATCAAGGGCAGTGGTTTCCCTCATTCCTCCCATTAGGCCCCATTAGGTCGCAATTTTATAAGGCTCGCCAATCCGCCCCATTGGAACCCGAATGATTTGACCCAACAAGCAGATCTGAAGAAATTCCTAGACTATATTTTGACAGGCATAAAACAAACTGACACCCAGCAGGCAGAGACAAGGCTTCCTCATGCTAAGGGTAGGTGCTGGGTACCCCCCAGGAAGCGTCACAGAAAGGAACACAAGCCAAAATAGGGAAAGAGCAAGTTTGAAATGATATTTAGATAAATTAGATGTATTCAAGTTGGCAGGACTGGATGAAATTTATCCTAGAGTACTTAAGGAACTAGCTGAAGCAATCATCTTCGAGAACTCATGGAAGATGGGTGAGATCCCAGAGAACTGGAGAAGGGCAAACATCATACATACCTATCTTTAAAAAGGGGAACAAAGAGGACTCTGGGAATTATTGAGCAGTCCGCATAACTTCAATACCTTGAAAGCTACTGAAAAAAAAATCAATCAATTTGTAAGCACCTAGAGCAGGAGTTCTCAAACTGGGGGTCGGGACCCCTCAAGGGATCGTGAGGTTATTACATGGGGGGTCACCAGCTGCCAACCTCCACCCCAAACCCTGCTTTGCCGCCAGCATTTATAATGGTGTTAAATATATAAAAAAGTGTTTTTAATTTAGGGGGGGGGAGGGGGTCGCACTCAAAGATTTGCTATGTGAAAGGGGTAACCAGTAAAAAAGTTTGAGAGCCTCTGACCTAGAGGATAATAGAGTTATAAGATCTGCCTAGAAAAAATCATGCCAAACCAACCTAATTAACTATTTAGCAGATTACTGGCCTAATGGATGGGGGAAGGAAATGTGGTTTAGACCAAATAACTAAGATGGGTGCACAACTGGTTGAAAGTCCATACTCAAAGAGTAATTATCAATAGTTCACTATCAAACTGGAAGTATCTAGTGGAGTCCCACAGGGCCAGTCCTAGGTCCGATACTATTCAATATTTTAATTAATGGATTTAGATAATGTAATGAAGTGTATGGTTATAAAATGTAGTAATGACACCAAGATCGGAGGATTGCTAGTACTTTGGCAGACAGGACCAGAATTCAAAACAACCTTGACAAATTAGAGAAATGGTCTGAAATCAACAAAATAAAATTCAATAAAGGCAAGTGCAGAATACTTCACATGGGAAGAAAAAAAATCAAATGCATAATTACAAAATGAGGAATAACTGACTAGGTGGTAGTACTGTTGAAAAGGATTTGAGATTATAGTGGATCACAAATTGAATACAAGTCAACAGTGTGATACAGTTGGGAAAAACACTAATATTCTTCAGTTTATTAACAGGAATGTCGTATGTAAGACACAAGAGAAAATTGTCCTGCTCTACTTGGCACTGGTGAAGCCTCAGCTGGATTACTGTGTCCAATTTTGGGCTCCACACCTTAGGAAATACGATGGCCTCCAGAGGAGAGCAACAAAAATGATTAAAAAGTTTAGAAAACATGATCGATGAAGAAAGAAAAAAATTAGGCATGTTTAATCTTGAGAAAAGACGACTGAGGGGGACTTTCAAATATGTAAAGGGCTATTATAAAGAGGACTGATCAATTGTTCTCTATGTCCACTGAAGGTAGGACAAGAAGTAATGGGCTTAATCTGCAGCTAGGGAAATTTAGGTTAGGGGAGGTTCTGGAATCTCCGTCGGAGGGTTTTTAAGAATAGATTGTCCAAACACCTGTCAGGGATGGCCTAGGGTTTACTTGGTCCTGCCTCAGCATAATGGGCTGCACTTGATAACCTCTCAAGGTCTACTCCAGCCCTACATTTCTATGATCATTAAAGCATTAGAATCCTTTCATATTCCACCAAACTGCTGACAATATACTTTGTAATAAGAGATTTATGCCCTACTACGGATATAACGCACAATTCTTTACTGAAATTATGCATACTGGATCCTAAAGGTACACATAACAGCACTTCTCTCGGAGGGTGCAACACACAGATGTCCTCATATAATCACAATTCTGTCAAACACCTCAAAGTAATCCACAAATGTCCTTGTATCAAACACACTTTTACCAAGCAGGCCCAACTAATGCCTCCATCATTCACTGTTGGTACTCCTAACACACTGACTGCACCTGTAGTGTATGCAAATAAATCCCATTTGCTACTGCCAGCTCCAGGGGACCAGAGGAAAGGTGGTGTGGGCAACCTCTCCCCCCACCCACTTTTTGTGCTTTAATGATGTTAGATGGAATCCTGTGGGTGAAAGTGAATGGGATGTAAAAGGAGGTGAAGGACTTGCACGTTTCAGCAACTCTGGAGTCATTGCTAACACCAGTTCAGCTACACCATTGGTTACAGCATTGAGAGCTCTACTTTAGACCAGAAGCTGGTCTTTTAAACATTTGGTCATCTACATTTGCTTGAAGCAATTGTAGTCAACGGGATGCTTAAAATTACAGCATCTTGTCCACGCTAGGGCTCCTTCAACATTGCTACCATCAATGAAGCTGACCCCAGTGTTGGCAACGATAAGAAATTTTTGCAAAAATTTCCCTAATGCATGAGGCTTAAGAATAAGTGCCTCTTCCATATTTCAAAACATCTCCTTTAGAAATAAAGTCTAAAGTATTCGATTGATCTCCCTTCTCAAGGGTGATGCTCCCCACAACATGAGCCATGACCCAACCCTCTTCCCACCCCCACATCAAAACTGAATGTATGGTCATTAGCATATAAATAGTTCAGAAACAAATTTGCAATTGATGAAAGTTAAGATCATTTGGAACATTTTCTGCACTAGCAAATTATTTTTCAAATTTCAAGTTTATTTTACTTTTGTATTTTATCCCTTTAAAGAGATTAATCATGTGAATTACATTAGTTTAAAGGGGTAACACATCAGCTTGAAGTGTGATCAGCCTCAAAAGGCAAGTTAAGTTGTTTCAGGTACTTCATCTACCCAAGTCCTGCAAGTTTTTGTGGTTTTTCAAACATATTTGAGGGGGGAAAAGACTAGGGTTTTGTTTTGTTTTAAATAAAAAGTGTCCTCTTCCCCTCAGTTGCTGTATGAAAGGGTCACAAATATGCAGAGACCACAGTGAAACCAACTATCATGTAGTGCTCTCAAACGCACGGGGTAAACAATTAGAAGAATTGAGAAAAAAATTATTTTCTGTGTTCGTAATCTTAGATATTATTGTAACAATGGTAGATAATTATAATTACATGTGAAATCCTTTAAGTGACTATGTACCTTACTGCTAACATTCTGTGGGCAGGCATTGTAACGATGTAGCTTTTAAAAAGACACACATGTCCACTTGGAAAAGCGAGGATACACTATACATGTTTTACTCTACCAAAAGAACGTTAATATCATGCAAAAGATGGACTTAACGGACTTACTGTGCCTGGCCTGTTGTAAAGGAGTTTGTGTAGATTTCTGAGTTCATCTGTTTTCTTCTTACTCAAAAAAAACTGTATCCTTTCAATTTCGCAAAGTTTTTGTCCCTTTCCTGAAAGAGTTAAAGCAAGTTATGTTGCGTCTCTCATTCATGTTCTTCAAAATGACACCTTTGTTTATAACTTGTAGTATCTGTTTTAAATATACCAAGTGTTTAAAACTGAAATATTTTTGAGGTAGAGGAGGAAAGTTATTTTACTACTAGACCAAAAACTTCAGATGGCAGATGACTGCCTGTTTACCGTGTCTATCATAATTAAATAACTTGCTAGCCACCTTTATATTATTCCTTTGTTACCCGATGCTCTGTGTCCAAATAGAGGTTACACACACTTGCACATTTATTCCCAGCAGCTCTTGCATTCACAAATGGTGGCTATATATCATGTGCCTGCCTGAGATCAGGTAAAAATGTACTTTGTTCAAGTATTTCAACATTGTTGATGGACAGTTACACAAACCTCTCCACATTTGTAATTTTAATAGCCACTCTTCCCGTAAAAAGAAATCAACACCCTATTTTAAGATTTATGGTGGCTCAGTTATCTTATCTATGATTCATAATTTAGTCAACTTAAAAAATTTCCCTATTCACGACTAGTTAGAACAATTATAGTTCTGAAATAAATGAACAAACTTGCCTGGTGCAATTGTAAAAGGTTCCCTTTGTAACGAGGATACCTGCATGGTCAATCTCTCTACTTTTTTCTTCTCTCTCTTCCCTTCAACAATGAGACTCTTTTCTGCAAAAGACAGTTTCCCTTAAGTATAACATTTCACAAATAGTGAGACAAACACTGCAACTGCAGTGAAGGGGCAGAATTTCAATATATCTCAAGGTATCAGCTATAGTATCCTAACATGCAGCAGAAGTACCTAATTAACTTAAAAGAGACATTGCACAAAATTTTAGTGTAAAATGCTAGTCTGAACTAACAAGAAGAGCCCCAAACAACATCTTATAATTTACGTAACCAAGAGACTTACAGAACTGATTTACAACTAATTGGAGCCACACCTGCTGAAAACTGAGCTGAACTATACATACAAATATGATAAAAGTAGGTTTGGATATAATCTCTATACAAGCCTATTGATGAGATCTTATTTTAATTAAGTTGTAGCATCCCAGCCACACCCCAGGATTTAGACTCCATCTTGTACAGTAATTCCTCACTTAATGTCATCCCGGTTAACCTTGTTACGTTGCTGATCAATTAGAGAACATGCTCATTTAAAGTTGCGCAATGATCCCTTATAGCACTGTTTGGCAGCTGTCTGCTTTGTCCACTGCTTGCAGAAAGAGCAGCTCATTGGAGCTAGCTGGTGGGAGCTGGGAACCAGGGTGGGCCAGCAGCCCCCCCCAAGTTCCCTGTGCAGCAACCGCCCAGCAGGCTATCAATTGCCAGGCAGTTCAGGTGTCCCTCCCCCCACTGCCGTGTGCTGCTCCTGCCCTCTGCTTTGGAGCTGCTCCTGGGAGCCTCCTGCTTGCTGCGCGGGGGGTGGGGGAAGGAGGGGTGCTAATGTCAGTGTCCCCCTCCCCTGTACCCCTTCTCCACAGAGCAGGGAGGGATGGACACGACAGGGCTCAGGACGGAGGGAGCTTGCTGGCAGCAGCTGCTGCTGTCTCAACTTGCTGATCTATTTAAAAAGGCAGTGTACTTAAGAGTGGGGTCAGCGTACTTAAAGGGGCAATGTGCGTGTCTCTGTCCCACACACCGTGTGTGTCTCTCCTTCCTCCATTCGTGCTGCCTTGTAGAGAGTGAGGCTACATTAACAACAACGTGTTAACCCTTGAGGGCTCAGCCGAATACTAGATCATTTAGCAGGAAGGCATTCCCTGGGAAATATCCCACCCTCTGACTCCACCACCTCAAACAAGCTTCACAATCATCATTGCTGTGTACAGTATTAAATTGTTTCTTTAAAACTTATACTGTGAGTATATATTAGTCTTTTGTCTGGCAAAAAAAAGTTTCCCTGGAACCTAACCCCCCCCCCCCCATTTACATTAATTCTTATGGAGAAATTGGATTCACTTAACATCTTTTCGCTTAAAGTAGCATTTTTCAGGAACATAACTACAATGTTAAGTGAGGAGTTACTGTACATCCTCTTGGGATGTGGAGCCCTATAGCGCAAGACCCCATAGAACCAGTGCTGACCTCCCAAGTCTCTCCCCAAAGTTCCACCCATAATGGGCACTACAGTTTACAGTTGAACTGTTCAGAGATCACATGATAGTCAAAGCAAGGAATTCATAGGCAAAGGAACTTATTAACCATATACACTTTGTTCATAGATTTATGGATAAACAACAAGTATCTGAATGGAAATCCTTCCCTCTAGTGTCCTCACCACTCCCAAGTCTTTTGGGTTTTTGGTCAGTGTCCTCGAGGGGATCCAGCACCATTTTCTCTTCTGGCAATGGTGTCTCCCCCGCTTAGAAAGCCTCTCTCTTAAAGCCTACCTGAAACAGCTTTTACTTTCTCATGCAGTGATTTTCCATTATCCAGCCCTTGAGTAGAACTTACACATTCAACCCTGCGTGGGCTGCTGGTTTAACAGTTAGTCTCTGCTGGTAGTCTCCATTGTCCTGCCAGGGTAATGCCATTGAATAGTTAATGGCCAGTGATGACTCTCTCATTCAGGATCAAACTCAGAGGTACCACACTCTGCCTAACACAAGAGGACTGATGCAGTCCCACATGACAGTTACATTATACAGTGAAGCACATAATCAAGCTGACACTCAAAATGAAGGCTGAAATATAACATGGGATTCACAAAATCGGACTGGAGACCCACAGAACCTCCAAACTGTCAGATTTCAGATGCCAGCACAGTCTGACATGTCTATGTCATTTCAGTTACTGCTCCTGCTGTTAATTCCCCATGCTAATTTATGATTCTGCAACATACTGAAGAACTATTCCACTTAGAAGCCTTCTACAAGGACTGATAATTCTAAGATGCAAAGAGGATATAAACTAACTCCTCAGAGACCTCATGCCTACAGAGTTACACCTTGTCAGGAAACAAGAAGTGAGGTAAAATGCTCTTCAGTTTGGGATGGAGTGAGGTGCCCTGGTTCTGAAAGATTATCTGTGGCTAGATTTCCAGTCTGACTGTATCAATATTGGCCATTTACAACAGAGTTGAGGACCACACTGGTCCAGAGCAGTGTGAAACTATTAGGATTGAGCCTTAGTCAATACCTATCATACCATAGGCAGTAACGGTGGGTAGACACACATGAACTTTCCTTCTCGGCAGATGAAGAAGGCATCCCCTATTCATGTGGTCTTCTCTTGACAACAGAAAAGTAGCTTTTTGTTCAGGTGAGCTGCTCCTTATAGCTTCCACTGGATTCCCAGAATAGAAACTACTTGTAAGGCTCTATCATGGAAAGACTCATTCTGTAATCTCCCTCTCTGCCAAGTACATAGCAACCAGGAATTTCTTATCCCTGGACTGCCCACCACAATAACATCCATTACATGGATACAGTGTAAGAGTCCATATGATGCTTGCTTCCATTGCAACAACAGGGTCCACTGAGGCTCCTCTCATGTGGAGATGTGCCACAGGTATTACAAATACAGTTAGTCACATTAAAAAGGAAATTGTTTCCTAAAATTAAGTTCTAGGGAAGCTTAATAAAATAAACTTAGATTTTCATATGTTAGACATTAGGAAATATCTGCACATAGAGCCATGCCCCCTTTTTCATTCCCAAAGCTATTCTACTTTGTTACATTTCACTCATCCTTGAACACTGACTACTCCAAAGAATTATTGCTGAATATAATCTGATACTTTGACCCCAATTCAGCCCTTTCTTTGCATGTATACCTACCTTTTTCTTCTTCTTCCTCCTCCTCCTCTTCCTCATCACTTTCCTCAATTTTGTTTTCAGTTTCAGGTTCTCTCTCATCTGTTTGTTCAGCAGACATTATATCTTCTTTTGAGGAAGACATGGTGAGTGACTCTGTGGAACACAAGGGAACTGTCATTGCTATTACAACATCTAAGAAAAATTCTTGAATCTATATAGGCATGGCAGAACTCAGATTTTTTTTTTTTTTATAATTTTGATGGATAATATTGGGTTTTAAGCTTTATTTTAAACATTTTCAGTTGTGGGAAATTATGGAGGGTCAGACAATTATTTAATGACAAATTCAAAAAGTTAAAGTTTGTAACCATTAAAATACAAACTGTCAACATTATGTCAAAATATACACAGTAAATATCCTTAAAATCAAACTCTAGTACATTTTCAAACAACATTTTTCTTACTTTGCCTATCTGTAAATTTAAATTATTATTGATGGAAATATTTTTTCATCCCTGGGTGTTTGTCCAGTGCAACTGATGTTTACTGACATTTACCAATAAAAACCTAATTTGTCCAAGTCTAAATGTATCTACCAGACATCTTTGTTGGATAAAAGTCCTGTCACAATATTACTGGGATGTTTGAGTACTTTAGACTGACTATTTGATGCTATAAACACAAATTAAAGTAACCTAAAGAGGAATATGAACAATTTTTCACATCCTCCTAATGCAAGTCTGGTCATTTTTTGTGACTCTGCAAATACCCCACTAAAGAACAGCTCATTTTAAAGTAAAAGTTTTAATTATAACAAATGGCAATGTTATCAAATCCTTCCAGACATGAAGGTCTCATAGTCTGCATCCTGAACTATACAGCCATACCTACTGAAAGCAGTAACATTGCATTAACATAGCTTGAAGCTGACGACAAAATATCAAGAGTTAGAAAATACAAATGCTTAAAAAAACCCACAATCTTCATTATGCCACACTTCAGATAGGGAATATTTACTTCTGCTTTTGGTTAAACATGAATATTGACCTACATTTATGTTGTCATATAGTAAGTACACACTCACATAATGTACGAACAAAAAACAACTTAGAGGAGTACATGCTGCTTTTGGAACAACGATAACTGGGTGAAATTCTAGGTTGCATGTGTTATATACAAAAGATCAGATGATCTAGTCTGATCCTTCTGGCGATAAAAATCTATGGAACATCAATCATGTATTAGTGCAGAGATGGCCAACCTGAGCCTGAGAAGGAGCCAAAATTTACCAATGTACATTACCAAAGAGCCACAGTAATACGTCAGCAGCCCCCCCATCAGCTCCCCCACCCACCGGCAGCCAATTAGCATCTCCCCATCCCTCCTTTTTCGGGGCATGGGGGGGGGGGGGGGGGGGGGGAGGGAGAGTAGCGAGGGCACAGCAAGGTCGGGGAGGGACGGGGTAGCGTGGGAGCAGGGCCTGTGGCAGAGCCAGGGGTTGAGCAGTGAGCACCCCCTGGCACATTGGAAAGTTGGTGCCTGTAGCTCCAGCCCTGGAATCAGTGCCTGAGCTTTTAAAGTGAGGACAAATTTGGGGGTACAGTAGTCTGGAAAGGTTGAGAACCATTGGTACTCAGGGATGTTGTGGCCTGCGATTTCAGGAGAGGAAGGGAAGTAGGAGGAGAGAAGGGTTTTCACAGTTTGCCAAAAGAGATGCCTAATGAACAAATTGAGAAGTAACTTTTCAATCATTTGTGCTGTTACTCCAATACTAAACAGAAAAAAAAAAATCGAACTTGGCCCTGGAGGAATCCCTCAGGGCATTTCCAACTGTTCAGTTTGTTCACACAACTCAAAAGTAGCAGCAATTTTAAAGAGGTAGCCAAGCCTCCCCCTTTGTAATACTCCAGTCACTGAAGGTTACCTTGCTTAACCGACGGGACCCAGCTTTGGACAGCGCCCAGTGTCTAGGGATGGAGAATGACCTGCACGAACTGACAAGGCGGGGGGGGGGGGGGGCGTTGCAGCGTGTGCGCGGCGCAGCCGGACTGATGACCCTGGCCCACGGGGATGCATCCGCTCGGCGGGACGGGACGGCAGGGCTCAGGGCACCCGGACGCTGCAGGGAAGCGCAGGTCGCCCCGCGCTGTGGCTGGGGAAGCAGCGACCCCGAGCGGGCGGGGGCCGGCCCAGGACTGGGGCCCCCAGGAAACCCTTCAGGCGGGAAACAACTCGCCGCGGGGAGAAGTGAGAGCGGCCAGGCCCGGCCCGGGGAGCCAGAGGATCGGAGACCCTGGAGCGGGGGAAGGGTCCGGCTCCTCTCCCCGCGGGGCCTGGCGCCCGCCGCGCTCGGCTCTCCCAGGCTCCCGCGCAGGCCTGGCCGGGCTAGGTCCCTGCAGGGCCGGACAGTCGGAGTGACTCCGCCCACGCTAGGGATCCGGGGCTCCCACAGGCCTCTCGCCCCAGAGCCCCTGCGCCCTGTGATCCTAGCGGCCGCGGTCCCTTGCCGGAGCCGCGATTCACCCACCTCGGCTCGGCGGGGTCCGGCTCCTCTCGCCCGTGTGGGCGGCGGCTGGAGGCGACAGTTCACAATTACCGGGATGGGGGCGGGGACAGGCGCGCGCTTCACGTCTCGCGCTCACACTGTCCCCGGGCCGGAATCAACAAGGTTTTCAAAATGGCGGGTTCTCGGTAGGGGGGAAGGAAGCGGGAAGGCGGCAGCCAATCAGCGCCCAGAACCCAAGTCGCGGCTGGAGGGAGTGAAGCGAACGCAAGGCGAGCGCGCGCAGGTGGGCGGGACGATGGCTGTTCAGAGCGCGCGGGCGCCTGCCGCTTGCTGTAGAGGGGGGACGGGAGCAGAACAGCGCGTCTGCTGCTTCCCCCATTAACATCTGGGGGGGGGGGATTTGTCACTAGCTTAATGGAAGCAATGAAATTGTGACTGTCTGTGTAGAGCCTGTGGAGATTCTCAGCGAAAGGAATGATGTGGGTGCTCAGTACGAGGAGGGTGTATCAAGGGTGCACACTTCCCCCTCTAATAGTTACTCACTCTAATACTCCTATCCCAGGACTTGTGAGGTGGGGCAATATTTTCATCCCCCCTTTTAAGCCTGGATAAACCCGGACACAGAAAGAGGTAGTGCTTTTCCTAAGATTCCCGCAGCCAGTCAGTGCAGAGCCGGGAACAGAAGCTGAGCTCACAGTCCTAGTCCTATACCTTAGCCACAAATCCAGCCTTTCTTTACTGGTATCTGTAGTTTTCAAACTGTTTTCTTTCCTCTCTCTCTTTCCCAGTCTCTTTTGTCTTTACGATCCACTTGCTTGTTTCCCCCCTTTTCAACTGGCCTTTTTTCCTACAATGATTCTGTTTCCTATCCACCATGGTTGCTTCCTTGAGATAGACTGTGCTGCTACTCAAAGCCAAGAAGCAGTCATATTTTATCTCCTAGTTTCTTCCCTAAATGTGCTGTATTGTTGGCTCAGGTTACCAGGCAACATGTGCAGTACCCTGGGGGTGGGACCTACTTCATGTCAGCCCTCTTGACATGAGGTAGGTGCTTTGCGCTCTTGCACCTTTCTCTGTCTCCCTCCTTCTTATAAGAGGGAGACAGAGAAAGGTGCAAGAGCAAAGCACCTACCTCATGTCCAGAGGGCTGTGGGGAAGAAGTGCTCCACAGCAGCCAGAGGGAAAGACCTGGGTAGGATCAAGCTCCTTAAGAAGGAATAAGTAGCCTGGACAGGACAGTGAAAGTGCTACTCCTGAGGGCATTCTGTGACAAAAAATTAAAAATTCTGCACACATTATAAAATTCTGCAAGATTCTGCAAATTTTATTTGTCAAATAAATGTGAAGGCTCCAGCATGGCATTGGGGAGCACAGAGCACTGGCTGCACAGAGGTGGGAGATCACTGTGCAGCTCCCCCCACCCCTCCCGGGCATGGACCCAGGAAAAAGGTTGCACCCAACCCTGACACAGCGCAAGGACTGGGCCTGCCCCAGAAACACCCCAGTGCCCTGCCCCCCTGTGCCAGGTACACCAGGTGTGGGCAGGCAGGCTCAGCAAGACAGGATCCAAGTGTGGAGGGGCTTAGTGTGTGGGGAATCCAGGTGTGGGTTGAGAGGGTTCTCTGTGGGGCAATGTGGGTGTGGGCAGCTCAGTGGGGGATCTGAGTGTGGGGGATACACAGGGGCTTGAGAGGTTCTGGGTGCAGCCATAATGGGACTCTGCAGGGGGGTCCAGGTGAAGGTAGTGGGGGTCTGAGTACAGCTCAGCTCCCTGTACAGTGATCCCTCCCCCTGCAGCCGAGGAGCGATGTGTGCAGGAAGCGCTGGGATGGGGTGGGGAAAGTTTGCAGAGCTTCCTACAGCCTGGGGAGAAATCTGGAGGTGGGTCTGACCCAGCCCCAGATGCCATGCTGGGGAAGAGAAAGTCCTGTCTTCCCTAGCCCAGCCAGGACTAGCAGCTGAGCCCGGTGCAAGGTAGGAGCCACCAGCCATGTCTTCCCCAGTCCTGCCCGTGCCCCACAGTTATTTAACTCTCTGCTGGCTGCCCTGGGCACCTGAAACATACTGCTGGAAGGGCTGCATGACCCTTTTTGTGCCTTCCCTTTGCTTCCCTGTCAGAAAGTCATTTTTCTGCGGGAAAACAAAGAAATCTGCGGGGGGACATAAATTGTGCGCATGTGCAGTGGTGCAGAATTCCCCCAGGAGTAAAGTGCTAATGAGTGTCAAAGCAAACTGACATTTGTGCTTGCTTAGGGCTAGAAGGAAGTTGGCTTTCCATTGCCCTGCTCCAACAGGGCAAACAGACTGCTAAGCCCCACAGGATCTTAATGAGCTGTTGAGGCCAAATTACTAGGGGAGCAGGAATGTATAGCATTCAGTTAAACTATTTCTACGTTAATAAACCAGATCCCCAAAGGGGTGTTATTGACTCACATGAGAGTGTGGATGCAGTTATTGGGAAGACCAGAATAGGAAAACTGAGGCAGGAGTTGTGACAAATATTGCAACCCATGAAGTATCTTTGGGGGGCCATCATGTTACATTTATAAATAAGACAGTAAGAAAGTTGTGATTGTTGTTAATCTGAAAGTTGTGGCCAGTCTGTTAAAGTTGCGCTTGGGTTGAAGGTGCATATTGGCAGCTGGAGGGACAGGTTGCAGGTGATGGTGCAGGACCTAAACTCTTGTTTTGTAACTGAATAGATGTCAAGTTGGTAGCAGGTCCTTTACCCTCCCACAGGGGCTGCATAATCCTGGCCAAACCTTCAACACTCAAGGCAGAATGTGAGCCCCAACACCCCTGAACCCTAGAGGCAGCCCCAGCTCAGAGACTGGAGAGGGCTGGCACTACCCTGGTTCCCCTATCCCAGTCCCACACTGTATGGGAGGCATAAGCCACAGGTTGTGCCCAGCCCCACTCACTGGGGCCTCCCTAAACCTGTGCACTAGCACAGCCAGACAGCCGCAAAAGATGAAGTCCTCAAAGTTGCACAGGAGCCACTGCTCTTCAGAGGCCCAGCCCACACAATCTGAAGGAGATGGAATTGCACCTGGGCAAAGGCAGTAGCAGATTTGCCATGGCGCCACTGGGCCCACACTCCAGGGGGGCTCCGGCCAGGGCCACTCTTCTCCGCCCCCTGCTCTCTTCTGCGGGGGGGCAGAAGCTTGGTGCTCCTGGCACTGAGGCTCCTGCTGCAGTAGGGCAGCCAAACGCCCCCTCCCCTGCCTCCTCTCACAGCTTGCTTTGTTCCTGCCCTCCCCCTCCCTGCTGCTGATCAGCTGTTTGCCGGCAGGAGGGGTCGGCCACAGCATGCTCACCTGGGGAGAGGAGGCAGAGAAGGGGTGGGAGCTTGGGGAGGGGGGTGGAACGAGCATACCTACTCTGACTGCAGAGCTGCACAGCCAGGCTGAAAAAAGAAGGTGCTGCTCAGCTCTGGGGACTTTGCAGCTGGACACCACCTTCTGGGTCCTAGTGCTGGTTGAGCTCCCTTCTGTGTGCTGGGAGCCATCCTTCATCTTGTACAACAGTGAGTGCCCGTGGTGGGGCAGGCAGGGCAGGGGTCAGAGGCAAGGGGAAGGAAGGGGGTGGGATGGGGAAGAGAAGGTGATAGGTGAAGCAGGGGCAGAGAGAAAGAGGTAGTGGGGAAGGAAGGGGGTGGGATGGGGAGGAGATGGAGTGGTGGGGAAGGGGCATGGGATGGGGAAGAGAAGGGGATAGAGCAGGGATCGGCAACCTTCGGCCCCTGGCGGGCTGGGCCGGTTTGTTTACTTGCCGCGTCCGCAGGTTCAGCCGATCGTGGCTCCCACTGGCCACGGTTCGCTGCTCCAGGCCAGTGGGGGGCTGCATGATGAGGGATGTGCTGGCTGCGGCTTCTCGCAGCCCCCATTGGCCTGGAGTGGCAAACCATGGCCAGTGGGAGCCGCGATCGGCCGAACCTGCGGACGTGGCAAGTAAACAAACCGGCCCGGCCCGCCAGGGGGCTTACCCTGGTGGGCCGCGTGCCGAAGGTTGCCGATCCCTGGGATAGGGGAAACAGGGGCCCAGCATGCGGATCCCCTTGGCAGCAGCTGGGGTTCCCCTGTTAAGCAGGCCCATCAAACCCTCACCCTGACAAGCCCCACCTCCCCTGCATCTGTACCACCCCGATGAGCCCCCCCCAGACACCCTCTCCACTGGGCCCCAACCACCTACACCTAGATCCCCACCCAAATGAACCCTGTAGATAAATCTCTTTCATATGACTTTGTATTATGCCTCTTCATATAACCCTGTATTAAGCTATTTTCATACAACTTTGTATCAAGTACTTTGATATAGGAACTTTGTATCAGATCCCTATGTAGAAAAACATATAGAAAACTTTGGGTTAAGCCTTGGTATAATGTTATAGCCCCTAAGGATAGTTAAAGTAGAAGAAAAATGTCTTTTTGCTAGGAGTAGAATAAGATCTCTCCCCCACCCGCCCCTTAATCAATTGCCGTGTTGAATGAATGAGGTATGAATGAGCAAGGCATGGAAGGCAAGCACCTCCAGACAGCTAGTTGGAGAGGGGATGGAAGCCAGACCCAAGGACAATAAAACTTGTCAAGTGGGCTCACTAAAAAAGAGCAGACATATTGAGGGCCTGGGGGGGGGGGTTAGAAGCAAGCCCCTCCTTTTGGAAACACCCTCTTTGAACAGCAGTGGGACAACACCCAGAAGGAAGCAGCACAAAGGACCAACTGACACAGACACAGATTTTGAATCTGGTACAGATTTGCATGAGAGGGAAGCTGCTATAAATGTGAGGTGTCTTGCAGAGGACCCCGGGTCTCGTCTTGTCAATATCGGAGCATCGATCCGGATCGGCAGAAGCCCGGCTCCACCCCTCCCCTACCTAACTCACCTGGCCAGTGAAGTTAAGGGGAGCAATTAGTTGGTAACAACAAGAAGACAGAGTGTGTTTGTGTGTGTGTATGTGAGTGCATGAGTGTAATATAGATCATATGCATATGATACAGTGTTGATTGATGCATGTATTACCAATGAATGTGGAGTTTGCCTTATTCTCCCTGAAAAGATCCTGTGCAGTACTTTAAATACAACAAGCCCACCTCCCCTGCACCCAGACTCCCCCCCCCCCCCGCTGAGCTCCAACCACTTTCACTTGGTCCCCCATGCAGACTCCCATTGCCCCCGC